GGACGGCGCCGGGGTCGGCAGGGTGGCGGCCGAACAGGGGGGGGGGGGTCGGAGGCAAATCTGGAGGGGTAGCTTGACTTTTCGCAGGCCGAACTTGCCACCTACAGCATGACATGTAGGCCCAATCACTTGGATTGCCTATTAGAAGGTGTACACCGGCAGATTTGGATTTTGTGTTGAGAATTCGTCCAGAAGTTGTGGGTCTGTGTTGAAAAACTCAAAAGTTGTCGTAAGTTTTTATAAGTTGCCTTCAAGTTATGGTTGCATGTAAATAGCTCATTTAAAAAATATTCACCGCACTCTAAAAACGTTTAGTGTATATTTGAAAAAATGGTCATCATATATTAAAAAACTACAAAAAAATGTGAAAAAAATAAAAGGCAAAAACACAGAACAAAACCCAAGACCAGAAAAAGAGAGAAAAGGGAGCAACTTAGTTAACGAGCACTCTTTCGGGAGCCTCATAACGATCAGGGCCACTTGGCGTGCTCTCAGCCATCCGCCACGTGTCGCGCTCTGGGTGCTCCCTTTAGAATTTTTTTCGCACATGTTTTCGGCTTTTTAAACGGTTTTTTCCGTCTTTTTTTGATGCTTCGGTTTTCCACCGGTCTTCCTTAGCTTTTGGATAAAAAAATAAAAAAAAAATTGCGTGAAAAGACGCGTTTTATTTTTTTTCTTTCGCGAGAGGAACGGTTTTGCTTTCGTGAGAGTCACGGCCGTGCCTCTCGGAAACTTTCCGGAAAAAAACGTATTTTCTGTTTTTTGTTCTTTCGCGAGAGGCATGGTCTTGCTTCCGCGAGAGTCACGGTTGTATTTTCACTAGAGGTATGGGCGTACCTCTCGGAAACGAAAAAAAACATGTTTTCTGTTTTTTCCCCTTCCGCGAGAGGCACGGTTTTGCTTCCGCGAGAGGCACGATTGTGCTTTCGCGAGAGACACGGTCGTGCCTCTCGGAAACGAAAAAAAACATGTTTTCTGTTTTTTCACGAGAGGCACGGTTTTGTTTCCGTGAGAGGCATGGTTGTGCTTTCGCGAGAGGCACGGCCGTGCCTCCTCGGAAACGAAAAAAAAGCGTTTTCTCTTTTTTTTTCTTCCACGAGAGGCACGGTTTTGCTTCCGCGAGAGGCACAGTTGTGATTTCCCGAGAGACACGACGCATGCCTTTTTCGGAAAGGGAAAAAACTCGTGCTTCCGGTTCGGTTTCTTCATTCGGTTTTTCTTCGTAAAAAAAGTTCGTCAAAACTTATCAACATGGGATCTACTCCCTCTGTCTCAAAATATAAGATTTTTTTTACACTAGTATAGTGTAAAAAATATTCTTATATTTTGGGACGAAGGGAGTAGTTTTGAAAATCTTGACGCGAGGAATCCGGCGATGAAAACAGTTTGAGATTTGAATGCATGGTTTAAGAGATAAAACGTTTTGAATAAACGGATCTACAAAAAAGGGAAAACTCACAGATTGCAACGAGTGACTCACATGCAGCGCGCCACTTATCGCAACCTATGAAGGTGGTAGTGATTTGCAATGAGTATCCAGAATTAATGATTTCGGAGAGAAAAAGATCGAAACAAAACAGCTATTACGTGGGCCGGGCCGTCTGGAGGAGTCCTCTGGGAAGCCGCAACTATACGTTGCACGCGGGCGTCATATAGGATTAGCCGCCGCACTGCATGCCACAGAGGTCTTTTCTCTCCCTCCTCCCTGTAAACGGAAAACGGCCTACTCAGAAATTCCCAGCATCCCAATCGTGTCCGCCTCCACTCCACTAGATCACCGACCACCGTGGTCCTGCCCGCCCACAGAGCACACGGTACGCACTGCGCCGCCTAGGCCGATACCAGAAGCCATCTTCTGCTCCCCACGTCTCCACTCCGGCGAGAAATGCGGCGCCCTTCGGTTCAAGATGGGCTGACGCGGCAGCTCGGATCGGTGGCATCGACTCGGCAGTAAGACTGGTACGCGTGCGGATGCTGCCGTCGATTTTAATTCCCCGCCCACCCTTGCTTCTAAGTTTCCGGATATATAAGCGGGCGTCTATCTCTGCTGTTCCGGCTCCGCATTTGCAGCCCGCGGATTCGTCGGCGGGAGCCCGCGGATTTCCAGCTTGTCGTTGTGCAGGCAGGTGGGGAATTTTTTCTAACCTACTTTGGACTTTGAAGGGAAAACAGAAGAGGGGGTAAGATTGTTTCTGTTTCTGAGCCCTTTTTGTGTGCAAAGAATGGGCGGTTCTTGAAGAAAGAGGTCATGGAATAAATTATTGTATCGAGAAATTTAGCAAGGCGCATTTCATGCTTTATCGTAGAGCCAGCGCAGATGATATGGCCTACTAGCTTTCATCGTCACAACTTGCGTAGTTAGAGAATGTCAGCTCAACTACTCCACCCAAAAGGAAAAAAGATGGTTTAGTTTACCGCTTTACTTTATCACATTTGTCTCAAGTAACAAGCATGGAGTGATATGTCTCAAAATAGATGGGCCGGCTGCGAATCAACCTGTGGTTGAGTTGGTTAGGTGGACAGTGGTATCCCCAGCCCACCAGGGTTCAAATCCTGGTGCTCGCATTATTCCTGGATTTATTTCAGGATTTTCGGCGATGCGCTTTCAGTGGGAGGAGACGTTCCCGTCGATGACGAGGCGCCTATGGTGGCTTCGTAAATCTCAAGATGATATGCCGGCTCAGTCTCTCGGAGGTGCTCATAGGGGTAGGGTGTGCGTGTGTGCGTTCATAGGGATGAGTGTATGCGCGTGTATATGAGCGCTTGTGTCTGTACTGATGCTCAAAAAAAAAAAGATGGGCCGGCTAGTAGAGGTGTAGAATGTTGTTTCGAGCTATGTATCTAGTGTCTGTCAACTAACCATATGAATGCTGAGCGCAGCAAGATGCCAAATATATGTCTCGGATGCAACTCAAACCTAATCCCACATACCTGCTACATATATTTTTTATACCATCCAAGTGTTGTTTCTGTCATAATTACTCTTAATTTATTTATCCTTTTATTCTTATCTATGCATTTTCTAAAAACAAAGGTACCTGCTCAGCAGAAAGTGGTCGCAAGTAGGCAAACTGTAAAACATGGGGATGTGGCATCTATCCTAAGATGGTGATCTCACTGAAAGTGGCACTCTTTCTTTTCATAAGCTGAGAATCTTCCGTCACATGCTAATGGCCCTGTCTGCCTTTCTCCTCCTACTAGTCTCAAGGAACCACCTTTCCCCTTACTTCTTCCCTCCTGATCCTCACCCAGACACCGCTACTGCAAACACCATTCCCATTCATATTCACCTATATCTTCATACACAGGCCGTCATCATCTAAGAGTGAGGATCAGGAGAAGGGCGTGACAAGAAGATGCTGAAGAAACTGATATCGAAGACCAAGAGCAAGAAGAAGAAGGAGGCTGCCTCTTCTTCCCTCCCCACCTTGGATCGACTACATGAGGTCTCCACCCCTTTTTCCATTTAAATGTTTGCCTGTTTTTCTTATATCGATCAACCTTTACCTTCTGCTCTTCTGTTTCCTTCGAGTTGTCAAGATAGGGTTGGATTTTGGGCTTGGGAGTTAGGGGACATTTCTAAATAGTTCTCTTCAAGAAATGTGGTCTTTAATTCGCAACAGAGCAATTGGTCACTTGTGTAAAGAAAGAAAAACCTCGATACCGTGTATCACCCAAGTGAATAGTAAAAGCTTGAGTACTGAATGCAGATGTGGGTATTTCTGTGTCCAATGGATTTCCAGAACACAAGAATGGAAGAAAACAATACTTAAAAGGTCTTCTTTTTGTACATGACAAACCGGCCAGTTGGTTGCGGATTTTGACCATTAGGCCTTGTACAATGCTAGGTGCTTAGAAAAATAAAGCGGTTTTTCTGAAGCACCAGTGCCTATTTCTACAGGAGAGACGCCGAACTAAGCATCTACCCTGTACAAATAAGCACCGGTGCTTAAGTAAAGCCTGGTTTATTTCTTTAAGCAGCTCCCCTAAGCACCTTGCATTGTACAAGGCCTTAGTTGTCATGTGTCTAGTTGGTTGAATTGAAGGTATGGTCAACTGTATCGGCCTAGTCAAATTTTGCTCAACTGCTTTGAGGACATATGATGCTGACACTGTTG